TGTCTAGACCTTATAAAACTCCGTAGTTGGAGATATTTGAAAAAGTGCTTTGTGGGGATATTGTATGTGGTTCTATGTTCTTCAAATGACATAAATGTTTCCATTCCACAGGCAGACAGCCCTCCTCCCACACTGAGTTAAACAAAGCTAACAACTCCTCAAGACCAAACTCGTCTAAATGTTTAAATAATTCATAGGATAACCCATCCCTCCCAGGAGTAGTGTTTGCTCCAGAACATATAGCATCCCGCAACTCTGTCATATTAAAAAACAGGTTAATTGGATTTACATTATCTGAATTCCCAGCCAACTTCTACTGATTTATTAATATTACTTCAGTCCTCTTCCTACTTCTTTCAACTCCCAGATTCCCAGAACTATGTACTGCTTGAAAAACATCAACAAACATGTCAGCTTTTCCTTAATATAATAAAGCCTCCACTTCCCCATTTTGCAAAACTGGAATAGGTTTCCTTTTATAAAGACCTGACATTCTGTGCACAGCTGACCACAACTGCCTTACAGGAGTTTCAGGGCCTAGTGTTCCACAATATCTCCTCCAATTATTTCTTTTTGTAGTTTTAATCACTCTTCTTGCTACTGCCCTTAATCTCTTATATTCCATGGCATTGCACATACATTGCACAACATTGGATATTTCCTCAATTTCCTATAAGCTCTATTTCTATTCCGTACAGTTACATCACATTCTTTATTCCACCAAGGAAACAACACACGAGGTCTAGAATTCGGTTTCTTCGGAACAGTGCACTGAACTGCCTTAAGAATCATCATGCAGATGGAAGCATTCCAGTTAGCTATAGAGCCCTCACTGTCCACTTCTCCTACCAACTTTTGAACTCTCTCCTTAAAGTCATCCCACTCAGCCTGAGAGAAGTTATACCTTGGAGCCCTCCCTTCCCCTTCTATTCTCAAACCTCTACCAAACCTGCACAACAATATGAAATCTGGTTGGCCTTCCATCATTGATCACTGCTAGATCATACTTTTCAAGGAATTCTTCCACAACTCCTCCATTACTATCCATAGCAGCACTGCCCCATAACAGGTTATGAGCATTGAAGTCCCCAACCCATACAATAGGACATTTAACCTGTAACATAACCTCATCAAATTCTGACACTAACACTAACCTTTTACAAGGGTTATAAAAATTAACAATATTTATAGGACCCTCTCTAGACCAAACTTCCACAGCCAAACATTCAAGAGTAGAATTAATATCAAGTCTCCTATATTGGAGTCCTGACTTTACAAAAGTTGCACATCCACCGCCTGATCTATCTGTTATGTCAATTCTCAGACATTCATATCCTGGAACTACAAAATCAAGGCAGGGTTTCAAACATGTCTCCTGGACACATATTAACTCTGGTTTCCTTCTTCTTCTTCTTCTTCTTCTTCTTCTTCTTCTTCTTCAGTGAGGTTTAAGGGCAGCTGGCATCCAGCGAGTTGCATTGCTGCCACCTTCAGGATCTACTTGTCATGACCTATATTCTCTTCTCTTCTTCGCTAGATATTTTAAGAGACAGCACTTTCCCCTCCTACTTGCTCCCACTCTTAGAATGTCCTTTACTGAGACCTCCTCCAACCCCAGCTCTCTCATCTCTCCCAGCATCTTCCGCCTTTCATTATTGTATTTTCTACAAGACACAATGACGTGTTGCACAGTCTCAGGCTCCTGACACTCAGAACATAAGCCATTTTGGTGTTTGAGAATTGTATTATTTAAGAAAGTGTGGCCAATTCTCAGTCTTGAAATAGTGACTTCCTTCTTCCTACTCATCCCTTCACTACCACAAGATTTACCTCGGCCGGTTACTCTACTGGCCACTGAGAATAAATGCCTGCCTTTAGTCTCTCTCTCCCATAGTTGTTGCCACTGAGCAATAATCCCACTCCACACAAGACATTTCCCCTCAGCCTCAGATAGACTTAGGCTCACATCCACAATCTCTTTCCTCACAGCTGTTTTTGCTAATCGGTGTACTGTCTCATTATCTGACACTCCTGTGTGAGCTGGGACCCATATAAAAGAAATCCCTACTCCTCATAACCACATTCTTAATTACCATTAAAATCTCATGGATAAGGTCTTGGCGACTCTGGGCTGTCCCTGTCCCAGTGCTAGTGATGGCTGGCACAGAATCACTAACCACCAATATATTACGATGTTGAAGCTGTTCAGTCCATTGCACCGCCATTAAAATACCACACAGCTCGACAGTAAACACATCGAGAAAATCTGACGTCCTCTTGAGCGACTGAACATTGAACCCCTGAACCATAAACGCTGCCCCTGTAGCACCAGTACCTTGGTCTTTCGACCCATCAATAAATAGTAGTAGATGATCTTCATACCGCTCTCTCACATAGCATTGAAACTCAAATCCCATATCTGCTGCTTTATTTCTTGCTTTAATTTCAAGCAGCCCTAAGTCGACCTTTGGTACCTCAAGTTGCCATATAGGTATTTGAGGCCACAATACAGCTGGACAAAACGGTTTATCAAGCACTGATAGCTCCTGTGCCACTGCCTCCCCTGTCCATCCAAAACTTGGCACATTTGCTACTCCCCTCTCCCAGCATGCTTGACTAGCTATTCTAACTGGATGATCTTCCCTTTGCCCCATCAAGTTAACCCAGTAGTTGGCCATCAACTGTTTCCTGCGTAGCCACAGAGGCATCTCTCCTGTCTCAACTTGCGGAGAGCAAACTGGGGATGTTCATACAGCTCCTGTGCATATCCTCAGAGCTTTAGCTTGAACTAGATCCAGTCCAGCCAACACTGACTTCGATGCAGACCCATACACCAGACTTCCATACTCCATCCTAGATCTAATCAGATATACATAAATTTGCTTAAGGGATGCAACATCTGCCCCCCATTCCATTCAAGCTAGGCATCTCATAATATTCAATACCTTTTTACACTTATCAGTTACTTTCATTATATGAACCCTCCAGGTAAGTCTTTCATCAAAAAACACACCCAAGAACTTAAAACACTTTACCCTATCCAAACTCTTGCAATACAGCTTCACACTTATTGCTTCACTGATTTTCTTTCTTGTACGAACATAGTGTTAGTCTTCTCAATGGAAAATCTAAACCCCCACTTTCCCCCACTCCTCCACTTATGTCACTGATTCCTGTAGCTTCTTCACAATATACTTTACATTCTTCCCTCTTTTCCATAGACTGCCATCATCTGCAAATAGGGACTTGCCAATTCCAGGTTGGACAATTGAAAATCTATCATTTATCATGATATTAAAGGGCCAGTGTGTAATATTTGGCATGGTTTATTATCAAATCTGAATCTGAATCTGAATATTCTACCCATTAATATGTTTATATAAGTGTATAATTGCTATAAAATAAAATTTGTTTGGTTTTCGTAGCCTTATAATTATGCAAGGGCCTTGCTTTTAGAGAGGTTGCCATCTTGTGCCATGTATGTAAGGCAGCCCGAGCGGACAATCCAGCCAGCCAGAGAATGCTTTTCGCGTGTATAAATAAACCAACGAAGACAGCGGAAGGAAGAAGGAGGAGGAATCAGCAGGGAGTGTTAGTAGTTCGTTGATAGAGAGTAGTGAAAAGTTTTTTAGTTATAAAGTTTGTGAATGGACCACACTTACCACGCAACAGGAGAGAATGAACCCGAAGCGTCATCTGCGAGGAAAAGAAGACGCAACTTCACTCCTTGTGATGCACTCTCTGCGGCGCTTTTCCTCTTGATGATATATCTCCCCAACAATGGTAGCACTGAATGCCATCATGTGCAGCAAAATGGGAGCGGAGGATTCAGCCTCTCTTCTCGCCCGCTCAGCATCAAACACATGGAGTTCCTCATCTGTATGCTCCGGCTCAAACAGGTATGGCTCTGGGTCTGTGTCCGCTACAAGAAACTCTTCAAAATCGCGTTCAAAGTCGTCCATTGCAGCTACTATAGTCCGGAGATATTGCTAGGCTAAATAAACAGCTGAGCTCTGTTTACAGGCTACGCTGTCAGTCAGTGTGCGGGCTGGAGATTGGTGGAGCAGAGAGGGGAGGGGGTACCCGCTAGGTACTGTAAACGAATATGTGTGTATGAACTGTGTGTGTTACGGTAGAAGAGTCAGAGTTTGGGACGGAGTCTTTTACCCCCTGGAGTGTTACCGGAGTTTTTGGAGTGCTCAAATAAACTGGCCTTTTCCCCGAAAGCTACTCTGGTCTCCTGCTCGTGAGGGATTCGTTACAATATCGTAACATGGTTTAGATTTCTAAATAAACATTTACCTCGTCGCTAGATAGACCTACTCCTGCGCAAGGCTTTTTGTCCCTATAAGGCCACCGTCATTTACCTCCAGACGGGAGGGGTGAGCAGGTGAGCCCTGCAATCTAGAATTTGACCACTGATGTCACTGTTTTCAACCCATTTTACACACTGGCCCTTTAAATAACAGTGGACTTATCACACTGCCTTGAGGGGTACCATTTTCTACTACACACTTCTTGGATATTTCTGGGCCCATTTTAACATGAATCAAACAGTTCTTCTTCTTTTTCTGTTTTATGGCGGGTGGCAACCAGCATAAAGGTGCTTTACCACTACCTACTATGTTGGAGTGTGAACCAGAGTTATCTACCCCTAAACAAATCCAAAGAAAAGGGGGGAAAAAAGGAAAATGTCCTGAATACTAAATTCTGTTGATCAATCCAGTTCCTTTCAAGTAGTGGAATAGACTCCCTAACCCAACTGTAAATATAGTTTTCAAACTCAGTTCTTCCCCTCCAATCTTCCTGATTTCTCTCTTTAATAATTCTCGCTCTCGAGAATACTTATTGCAGTGACATTCTCAACAGTAAAGAGTACAACTTCCAGGGTAAATGAATTAATGGGCTTCAAAATAAAAGTCCAGAAGTGTTGCTCAGAATTCTGGGCTTACTCAAAAAACACACACTCATGAGGATAAATGATAAATGATAAATTAAAATACACTTATTCAAATGACTTTTATTGAAGTGTTACAGTTGATTTTTAGTTTAGTTCATTTGATTTCACATATTGACTCAGTAAAATATTACAAGGATGGAAAAAGAGAAATACAATGATAAAATCCACACAGACCATGTACACAAAATTAAGATCACTAAATATTAGTAGACAGTTTACACAGGGAATCCATAAGTGTAACATCGGAATGGTTACATCCAGCCTTTAAAGGGGAACTCATTTTTTTTCCAACCTGGGCCATATTTTCCGACGTACTGGAGAAATGTCAACTATTGAACATCCTATCACTCATTTAGACAAATGAGTGACAGGATGTTCAAGAGGTGGCCATTCAAGGCAGTCAAAGGCCTTTTCTGCATCCAATGAGAGTGCAATAGTGGGTTCATCTCTAGTGTTTCCTAAATGAATAATGTTGAAAAGTCTGCGGAGGTTATCAGCTAAAAATCGTTTGTTCATAAAAACTGTTTGGTCGATATTGATAAGCTTAGAGAGGGACCTGTTTAATCTGTTGGTCAAGGCTTTGTCAATAATCTCGAAGTCTGCATTTAGAAAGCTAATAGGCCTATAGGAGGTGCATTTTTTGGGGTCTTTGTTTTTCATATGAGTAGCCATTATTAAAGCCATAGAAAAGGAATCTGGTCGAGTTTGAGTTTCTGTTGTCAAATTTAAAACATCTTTAAAGAGGAGGACAAGCAGGTTTTTTAACTCCTTGTAAAATTCAGGAGGGAACCCATCTTCACTGGGTGATTTATTAGACTGTAATGAGGAGATGGCTTTTTTGATTTCTTTTTGAGTGAAAGGGGAGTTCTTCTCCTCCTGGTCCTCCTCCGTTAAGTTTGGTAGTTCAATAGTTAATAAGAATGTATCAATTGTGGCAGGGTCATCTGTGGACTTTCATGTATAGAATGCAGAATAATAGTGTTTAAAGCAATCATTCATTTCTTTTAGGTTTCTTGCTGCAGTCCCATTTTCAATTTCTATGGAATTAACAATTCTCGATTTCTCCCGTCTTCTACTGCCAAGCCAAGACTTTCTGCGCCTTTCCCCCCAATTCATAGCATCTGTGTTTGGTTCAAAGAATATTTATTTCTATTCTGTATGTGTTCAAGAGGTTATATTTGAGCTTTTTGTTTACTCAAGTTTAGTAGGTCTCCCTTGAGCGTGACATATGTTGTTCATTTTCCAAATATAGGACTTCTTTCTCAAGCTCATTCATTTCAGCCATGTGTTTTTAAACCATTGGTATAAGAAATTATCTGCCCTCTTAAGAAGGCTTTCATTGTGTCCCACAATACAAAGCTACTGGGGGAAAAGACACAGTTTGTTTCACAGACGAACTTAACTTGGTTTCTCACGAATTTACAAAAATCAGCTTTTTTGAGCAAAGTTGGGTTCAGCTGCCACGTGTATGGTCCCTGGATTTTTTCAAGTATTAACAATAAGAGTGTCAGTGGGGAATGGTCTGAAATGATCCTCGATAAATATTCAGTTTCCATAACTCTATGGGTTAATTGGTTAGATGTAAGAAAAAAATCTATCCTCGTATGGGAGTTGTGTAGACACGAATAGAAGGAATAGTCTCTAGTTGTGGGGTGAAAGTGTCTCCAGGTGTCACAGAGGTTTAGATCTTTCATAAAGGCCAGCATGGATCTGGCTGCTTTGGTTCTTGTCACTACAGAGTCTGAGGACCTGTCTAAAACTGGGTGGCATGTCATTTCTGTCTCTACATGGTCGCACAGAGAGCACTCATCAGAACATATGTTGCGTCAACCACCTGAAAAGCAAACAAAAATATCTGCGTTTTTAAAAACGCTCCCAGGCTCTCCTGTGAGTAGCAGCCAGAGTAGCTCTCCTGCTCTGGATCTAAGTACAGGAAAGAGCCAAAGTGCTGCATGCCCTGCCCCTGACAAGCAGTAAAAGTCCAGTAACCACCAGATAACTCCTCAGAAAAAGAAGAGGTCTTACTCTCACATAAAAAAAAATGAATATTACAATATATGGCCGCAGCTGTTACAAAGTAAATACATACATTTAAAAACATACATACATACATACATAAATGTTTAGGTCTGTGTCAGTCTGCCTGTCCCCAGTCTGTCACATGACATACTGAGACTAAATAATTTCCAGAAAGGTTTAGGTTGAGTAGAGTCTTTCATCTTGTCATAGTCTCAGGTTGAAGACGCTTTAGGCCAAGATAATCTGAAGTGAGAAACACTGCAGCTTTAGTGTGTCTCTCCTGTGTGGGTTTGAATGTGTGTGTAACTGTCTAGTCTGTGTAAAGGACTTCATACAGACACTGAAATTAAAGACTTTCTCCCATATGACTTCTCATGAGTGTTTTTATTATAATCGTATTGCAAATAGATTTGTTTTCCAGACTGAACAGTTCAGTCACTTTTCTCCTTCATGAATTCTCATGTGTGAATGTAAATTTCCATTTTGTGTAAATGATTTCCCACAAAATAAGCAGCTAAATGGTTTCTCTCCTATATGAGATCTCGTGTCTCTTCAGAGCTCCACTATAAACAAATCTTTTTCCCACACTCAGAGCAGCTAAATCGTTTCTCTCCCGTATGAGATCTTGTGCTCCTTCAGAACTCTGCAACAACCAAATCTTTTGCCACACTCAGGGCAGCTTGTTTTTTATCCTGTATGAGTTCTCATGTGTTTCCTAAGATCTCCACTTTGACTAAAGGTTTTGCCACACTCAGAGCAACAGAATGGTTTCTCTCCTGTATGAGTTCTCATGTGTCTCTTCAGAGCTCCGCTGTAACCAAATCTTTTCCCACACTCAGAGCAACTAAATGGTCTCTCTCCTGTATGAGATCTCATGTGTACTGCCAGAATTGCCCTGAGGCCAAATCTTTTTCCACACTCAGAGCAGCTAAATGGTTTCTCTCCTATATGAGCTCTCATGTGTAATTTAAGACTTTCACTGTAACCAAATGTTTTCCCACATTCAGAGCAGCTAAACGGTTTCTCTCCTGTATGAGATCTCATGTGTTTTTTCAGATCTCCACTGTAAACAAATGTTTTCCCACACTCGGAGCAGCTAAATGGTTTCTCACCTGTATGAAATCTCATGTGTTTGTTCAGATCTCCGCTGTAACCGAATGTTTTTCCACATTCAGAGCAGCTAAATGGTTTCTCTCCCGTATGAGATCTCATGTGTCCCTTCAGATCACGGCTGCAACCAAATCTTTTCCCACACTCAGAGCAGCTAAATGGTTTCTCTGTGGAATGAAATGTCATGTGTTTCTTCAGATCGCCTCTGTAACAAAATCTTTTCTCACACTCTGTGCAGCTAAATGGTTTCTCTCCTGTATGAGATATCATGTGTTGCTTCAGAATTCCACGACGACCAAATCTTTTCCCACACTCAGAACAGCTAAATGGTTTCTCTCCTGTATGAGCTACCATGTGTTGCTTCAGAATTCCACTACGACCAAATCTTTTCCCACACTCAGAACAGCTAAATGGTTTCTCTCCTGTATGAGATCTCATGTGTTTCTTCAGATCTCCACTGTGACCACATCTTTTCCCACACTCAGAGCAGCTAAATCGTTTCTCACCAACAATCAAATCATTGACAGAGACTTGATCATTTTTCAGAGAGTTTAAACCTGACTGAGGTTCTCTGGTCTTCGTCCAATCATCACTGTCATCAGTCTCTAGTTCAGACAACTCTCCAGTCTTGTCATCAGTCTCTGGTTGTAAATGTCTGTCCAAATCTGAGTTCCTGGCTGGTTCTGCTCCTCCACAGTCCTCTCCTTTTGCTTCTGTTCTCATCTGTTCAGTGTGTCTTTGATGAAGCTGTGAGGACTGAGGTTTCTCTTCATCATCTTCACTCTTCACAGGGACAGGAGTGGATGTGAACTTGGTGATATCATCCTCCTCCAGCCCTTGAAGCTGCTCTCCCTCCTGACTGATCCAGAGTTCCTCCTGTTCCTCTTTAATGTGTGGAGGCTCTGGGTCCTCCTGGTCCACACTGGAGCTCCACTCCTGCTGCTCAGGGGGAACCTCTTCTTTAACCACCAACAGCTGCTGGACGTCTGCAGGAAACAGGAAACACACACCACACCCACACACACACACACACACACCCACACACACAGATGTTACAGAGAATTGTTGTCGTTCATTCACATCACAGCTCAAAAACTCTTACTGAACTTCTACAGATCTCTGAGCATCAAACAGCTTCACAGTGTTCACTCAGCTGTGTCAGAGTGAGTGAGGTTGAGGTGAGCTTTAATTTCATAGTAGTCATTAACATGTACTGTTACTCTTGTCATGTCTGGAGGCTACAGTGTGGTTCTTTATTTGCTCAGTCTAAAGTGAATTATTTGAGAATGATTGTCCATAGGATGCGACAGTGTACCATTTGATTACTTGGAGCCTGAGTAAATAAAATGCCGGTAATGGCACAGTATCCGCTGCCTTACAAAACAACACAATGTAGATAACATTATGGACCATTTAAAGCCATTTTTCTATGTTATGTTATGTTAGCTAAATTAGCTAGCATTGGCTAATTTCATGGGGTTTCTCAACTCAGCTACCAGTGGTAGAAAGTAGTTAAGTACATCAACTCAAGTACTACTGCAGTACAAATTTGTGGTTCTTGTACTTCACTCATTTATTCCTTAAAGTGTGTGAGACTGGGGCAGAGCCGATGGTCATTGAAGAGAGGTGAGGTAGCTTGGCCAAGGACATACTTTGACCCATTGGAGTTACTTGTGGAGAGGGGTTTCAGGACCTCATGATGGAACTGGAGCCACGATATAAAATTCCCAGTCGCACCACAATCTCAGCACACATTGTGCAGCTGTCTGACACCACACGGGAAAACATAAAGACTATTTTAAAGAAAAGACGGGAAGGACGGGTGGACATCCCTGGCCACACATGTTTATGTGACAGTCACAGCTCACTGTATATCACACTAATGGGAACTTGAAAATTATGTTTCATGCACGAAGGAATTAAGAGGAAACCATACAGCTGTACACGTTGCAGAAAGCATCAGCAGCACACTGGATGAGTTTGACATCTCCCGTGAAACGGTTGTGGCAGTCGCCACCAATAATGCTCTGAACTACGTTGACGCCATACATAATTTAGGCTTATTAATGTACTCTGTTTGGCACACACATTAAACCTGGCCGTGCACAAGGGGCTTGAGGTGAAAGCCGTTGACATTGCTCTCTCCAGACTAAAGCAAACTGCAGCCCATTTTGGGAGGTCTCCATCCCACACCTGCTTGCTGGAGGAAAAGCAGGAGCTCCTTGGATTGAAAAAAGACAGACTGATAAATGACTGCATCACCAGATAGAATACCACCTATGACATGATATGCCGTGCATCTGAACAACAAGCGGCAGCCGTCATTTTTATGAAATATTAAAGAGGCAACAGATAACATCTTTTCCTAAATATATCATTATGAAAATAATGTGGGTTGCACAGGGTAGTGGCCACAGAAAAATCAGACTATGAGCGTTTACATAGGTTACTCAGTGGCTTTGCAATCTTTATAATAAGCTTCTTCCACCGGTGGCGAAATTTCGTGGAAAAAATCTGCTTTACAGCAGGAAACGTGTCATGTATTGTGCAACTGGTCTGTCAGCCAATCATGGACTGGAGCGAGTCCTTATGAGGAGCTGGGCATGAGATAGTTGAGTCATGAGCACAATGGCAGACGGACAAAGTTTGGAAATAAGTGAAAAACGACCTAGCAAAAGAAAACAAGCTCCTCTGTCTGAGGAGGCAAAGAAGAGCAAAAAGGAGAGTGATATAAGAAGAGAAAAAACAAGAGTAAACCTCAGTCAGGCGTTCAAGAGATGGAGGGAGCTCCGTGACCAAAGAGGCTTCAGAACCCATGTCCAGCTTGCTTTCTTTCTAATGGATCAGTAAGTAACACGGCTAAATGTTAGCTAGACCAGAGAGGACTGTACTGTACTGGCTGCTAGTTCATTCCTAGCTGGCCAGCATCACAAATCGCTGCAACCAGGGAGCCAGTAGCGAGTGTTGGTCGGCTGACATCCTCGTTGCCATTCTACGGCAGCCCTCGGACAGTGATACCCCCCTCCCTTCCTTCTGTTCTCTTCTCACGGAGGGAGCTATCCACGGACATCGCCCAGCTAAGTGAACACTGGACTTTTCACTGCAATGGCCTTAGACTGAGGAGCATCAAAATCAATTAACGTTAGTCCACACAGCTCTCCCAAGCTGGCCTGGAGAACAGGGAGATCATGTAGGTCACTGGCCATAAATGTGAGGGCAGTCTTCGCAGCTACTGGGCACCCAGCATCTCCATCTGGGAGAAGTGGAGTAAAATCCTCTCCTCCGCTCCCGTTTTCTGGTGAACGCCTCTCCTCTGTCAATACACTCTGCCAGCAGTTTAATAATATTGATGCCAGTTGTAACATTTGAATGTTTTAGTAGGAAGCCATGTTCTAAGCGGGATAATGTGTAGTGAGCCAGTGACTGCTGAAAAATAACTCTGCTGTGCGTCGGGGTTCCATTCCCCTGTCGGGAGTTATTTTTCAACAGTCACCAGCTCACTATACATTATCCCTTACGTGTCTACTGCTGTTTGAACTGATACTGTGCATATTGGTATAATTTACTGTGAGTTGTTTGTACTGGTACTGTGCATTCTGCTATAATTATTTGCATAACCATTTGTTTTTTCTTCAGATAAATCTGATAATTGTAGCTCGGTCTCTTTACTCATTTATTTAGTATAGTGTCCACACACCTTCTCATTCTACATATACATAGAGGTATACTGGTGGCTTTACAGCCTACATTTTATTGATTATCTCTGATCCCCACGGTCAATTTGGTCGTTGCGACAGTGCGAGCAACACCGCTGACGCTAGGTTGTGCCAAGCAAAAAAAAAAAACAACAGAGAGAAATGCAGATTACAATAGGGTGTGCTATTTCAGCACCATCATCATTTAACAGTGACTTCTTGATATTTAAGCAGCAGAAACGGCTGATAGGGTGTTTCAGAACCATGGTCACCATCATGGATTAAACTAAAGATTTGCTCAAAACCTCAGTGAGATAAAGGACACAAAGGCAGATTTAACTAACGGGGCACCTAAAGACAGAAGAAAAATGAACACACAGTTTGACTTTCAGTGATGTTAGAAAACCATAAGATACAGCCACACAGCCATAAAGCCAACACAATCAAGCCACACACAACAACAAACCACAAGTGTGTCAGCAACAGTGGCCTCCTGCAATTAATACAATAACCAAGAAGACACAGCGGTCTGCAACACAAGCAGCAACAAACAACACTGTTTTTGAAAAAGGTCAGAAAGCCAGCATCTATAACAAGCCTTTATCATCACAAACAATGAATATAAATCAACTCACTCATTATGTTTTCATCCAGCGGCTGTCACTTTGAATCAAATCCCACAAATATGACATGCAACCCACTGTAGCCAAAATGAAATGTCCATAATTTCCAATATCCAAAAACTCCAACACGTTTGAACACTCCAAACTCAAACATATTCCTCAACGATATACAGTAATGTGACCTGATCTTACAGCACCATCCTCCTCTCCTTCTCTCTTCTCCTCTGCTCCTCACGCTTCAATGAACCCAAATTTAACTTTTTTTCCCGAATTTGAGCCAACAGACAGAATACAGCTAGCCTGTACACTACAGAACAACATTCACCTGCACCTCAAAGTACCAGGTCACGATCTCTCAAATGATACACATACACGTGTCTGTTGAAAAGGGATATAAGTGGCTGGAATCAAACACTACACAAACAAACCACAGTGCCCTGCTGGTGCTGTTTGCTGCGTAAGATGAGAACTCCCTGGCAGAGGTTCAAGTTTGTCTCACAGAGTCTGACTTTTTATTTTTATCCAATTAAGATACAAAAATGACATGACTCAATGTGCTTGACTCATACCAAGGACTTGACCTGACTTGCTTGATTCTAACCACAGTGACTTGGGACTTGCTTGAGACTTGAAGGTTAAAACTTGAGACTTGCTTAAGACAAGCAAATGTGTGACTTGACAGATACCTGACTGAGGTTCTCTGGTCTCCGTCCAATCATCACTGTCATTAGTCTCAGGTTGTAAATGTGTATCTGGATCTGAGTTCCTGGCTGGTTCTGCTCCTCCACAGTCCTCTCCCTCTGCTTCTGTTTCCATCTGTTCAGTGTGTCTTTGATGAAGCTGTGAGGACTGAGGTTTCTCTTCATCATCTTCACTCTTCACAGGGACAGGAGTG